TTAATTTAGCACTACGAAACGAAAAAGAAAAATTAAGCAAAAAAACGCGTAAACCTTGGACCAATTTCGCGTTAAAAATGTTGTAACCTGAAGGAAGTACCTTGCATTTTTCTTTTATTTATATTCACAGAATGTTATAATTCAAATAGTTTAGAAAATGCGTCCATTAATGTTATATTTTTCGCACCAATGCTGTCAAATAAATAAATGAAACAAAATTTAAAATTTTTTAGAAAAATCGGTCATATATACATCCTATTCCGACCACAGTCTAACAAGTTAATTGCACCTAATCTAACGTAAAAGCTTTAAGTCACATTTTTATCTAGGGATTTTAAGGTTGATTTCTTTTTTTAATTTTTTATATGTGAATAAACTTTAAAACGCCTATTTCAAAAATATCATTTCTTTTGACACCATTGAATAGTTCCTAAATAGCCTCCCCCCCACCGGGTTCCCCTTAATTAAAAAAAGAAGCAACAATTTTATCCTGCATATCAAGACGATTGTTGGCATTGCCTTAACCAAGCATTGTTGTGAAAACAAACATATGTCAACAAGAAATGTTCAATCGCTTATTCAGAGCTTGATGGCCAACCTGCTCTCTTTTTACTCATTATTTTAAAATTATTGTTCGATTCTTTTTTTTCATTTTTTTTATATATATATTTGAATTAAATATTTAATCCTTTTTAAAAATTTTCATCCATTTTTATTGAATTAGTTATATGATATATACACTGTAATTGGAGATACTAAGCACGTTTTATTCACTCTTTTATGAACGTATGTAATAATTGTCTATTTGAGAAAAAAAAAGAAACTTTTGAAAACTATGTAGATATATATCCAGTTTTCGTAAAAGAATTCTTGATCATGTGCATGTCTCTGTACGTTTTTTAAGAAAACTGGTTAATCACAAATAGAAAACTTTAAAAGCGATTTCTTTTTTTCATACTTGGTATCGTTAAATGGCAAAGCACCCTTTCTTCCATCGAAACGATGTATTATTATTTTCATTTTAAAAAAGACATATAGATCTAGGGATTGTATTATACTTGTAACTTCTTTCAGGATAATCTCATTTCTCGATGTTTTTTGTTTTTCTTAAATTTTTTACTGCTTTATATTAAGGGTAAAATTCTCATTAAATGGATATATTTTCTATGTATTTCCAGTCAACCAAATAGAATTAAAACAAACCAAATTAAATAAAAAAAAACTGGATAAAAGAGGAATTAAAAAAAAATGAACCACGTGTTCATTATCAGATTTAAGAAAAACTTTTTAAAAAAATCGATATTTTCGATGTTTCGTAATTATTTCATTTCGAAATTTTGAAATTAACAGAGTAATTAGGGATTATCCCCGATTGAAAGTTATGATAAATAAATGTTTCCCACAAAGATAGAAATCTCAAATTTTGAATACGTCTTTTTCTGATACAGTATCAGAAAAAAAAATTTATTTTGATATTTAGGGATAATTAGGGATAATTAGGGATTAGTAATTAGGCATAATTACTCCAATTGACAGTAATGCTAAATATCATACTTATGAAGATGGGATTTTGGATAAAGAGTTCCTTATTTGTTAAGAAAGGAAGTCTAAAACAATTTAAATTTGATGCTTTATAATTATCGGGGTAATTAGGGGTAACAACAGTAAGACAAAATAACACGTTTCAGACAGAATAGCCTCCAGCTTGAAATATGTATTCCTTCTCAAATTATAAAGATTGACTGTTTTTTTTCGATCTTTGGTAATTATCTGGGTAACGAGCCTAAGAAACCTAATTGCTGAACAACATGTATTCATCAATTAGCATTATGTATTTGGCACAGCATAGCCGATTGCACCTTTTAACTATTTAATCGTAAAAAAGGTTAGTTCGTGCAAGGGGATAACTGTAGAATCACGATGCGGTGAATTTGTGTAGGTAGATTAACTGGCCACAGCTTGTGAGTTCGTGCATGATTTCTAACATCCAATTTGCGCTTAAAATATTTATGATCAGGATTCAGAACAAACCTGCAGAACTCATTTTATGAATCAATGTTGAGCCGCGAAGGGGTAAACTTGTTCAGGTGAAGACCAATGGAGAACCACGAAGGAGTAAGTTCATGTTGACGGACTAATAACATAAAGCAGTTTTTAAAAGCCATTCATAAGTTTACAAAATATATAATATATTCGAATACAGCTCTTCAAAATCGTAAATAATTTTTTTTATCAGTAATAAGATATTTTATTGCGCTTGGTGCTTTTACCTTCTAAGATACAATGTTCATGATTTGAGGCACACAAACAAGATACGCTAATTAATAAATGCAGTTAAAGCAATTTGTACTTTTTCTCTCAGTTTGCTATTTTAATTGCGTAATGCAAAATTCCTTTGCAATCATAAATATCCTTCAACTAAACAAAGTTTAGAAAAGAAAATAAATAAATGAATAAATAAATAAAATTAATAATAATATATAAAATAAGAAATAAACTTGTAATCATTATTTATTTTTTAACTTCATAATAATCAAATATCAAATTTTTTTCATTGCAAATTGTAAAAAGTTTGGTATTCTCCGATGCAATAAATGTCAAAATCTAAAATTTGAATATATTATTTTCATTATTTCAACATTATAACTGAATTGAATTTTGAGCTGAAACTTTAAATTTAATTTTATGATACATTAATAGGAATAGTTTCATCTTCATAAGTTAAATGATAAAATTAAAGCCAATTGAGAAAATATTCAGCCTGAAAGAATCTTTGATGAAAATAAGTATTCTTCTGATATTTAAATCGGGAATTCCTTTGTATTTAATGTGGTTTTCATAATTATTAGTTGCCTGGAATATTTTAATTTGAAATCATACACCAGGAAATACCAAGGTCATATTTAAAATAAAGTGGGTAAGACAAGTATATTTAGCTCAAGGCCTTTAGACTGCTGCATTACTTGAATTGATGATGAGCGAAGCGGGCAACAGAAGAATTCTCTTAGAAACATTAAAATAAATAAGTAAATAAATAAATAAATAAGTAATGATAAATCCTGATTTTTCTATATTAGCTTATGTATATTTTAACTATTAAGCTGGAGCAACTCTTTTCTTTAGTATTACCATTTCATGCCTTACATTTTAATATTTCCCCTTATTTTTATGAACCTTTGAACTTTACTATTATTATTTATTTCAGTATTTTTAGACAGTTGTAGGGGAGGTCTGGGTTTATTTGTATTTTTACCAATTCACATAAATAATGAAATTAACTTTAAATATTTATTTATTAAAAAGACAACACTAATACAAAATAAAATAAGAATAAAAAGGAAATACAAGAATTTGGAAGAGGGGGTTAAGGGTTCGAATTAAAAGTCCGTATTTTACGGCGGTTCCTTGCAGACTGTCTTGGTTTACCGCCAGAGGTACTGGAGTGGGGGAAAGAGGAAAGTTTGTCACACAAGATTTTATTTCTTCACACGTTTACTTAATTAGCTTATTCTACATCTGTTTATTTATTTGAATGTTTACTTATTATGGGTTTGCATCACTGACATAAACCTTTTCTTTATGCGTGATTCTTGATATAGAGAGTGAATAAAGAACAAAAAGGTGATGGAAGAAAGAAAGCTAAGCTGTGTATTATTCGATGGGCAGATCAGTTTATAAATGGATGAACGTGTCAATTTATAAACTGATGACCCCAATTTATTTATGTGTTACATTTTAAATCAAATACAAGTTCGGACGTTTGAGGGAAAAAGTACTTTAACTAATTGCCTACTTTAATTAATTGCTGATAGCTTTTTTATTTGATATTTCTTAATAGCGGCGCGTCACTATGACAATCGTCACGAAAGTTTTGTTTGATGCAGTGAATTACGCCGTAACAGCAAATGTTTAAATTGGTGAATTAGAATCGTAATAAATAGGTTATTGCTAATATAAAAAGTAGCTAAGCGACATAATTATTTGTTAATTAATTTTTAATTGTGTTGAACAGAATGCGTTTTCAAAGCAGGAACTATTTCAAGTTTCTGAAATAGTATGTTTTTACTAAAACACTTATTTAGATGAATTAACAGAAAAAACAATTAATATCTTTATTTATCATAATATTCTTAATTATTCTTTATTCATTTACTAATATCCTTATTATTTGATCCTTATTCGTATTTAACGTAACCATATATTTAAAATATATTTTATCCTTATATTTCTTATATATATTATTCTTCATATATTAATATATCCTTAATATTCGATCCTTATTCGTATATTAATATCCTTATTATAATAGTATCTTTATATTCTTATCCTTATTATAAAATTGTACAAACATAATTAATGCTATATGTTCTTTCATCGCAATGTTAAAATATTTTATTCATGTTCCTTCAAAAAGAATTGGTTATAATGAAAAAAGGAGAGAAGAAAAAAAAAAAACTGATTACGATATGTTAAAAGTCTAAAAAAATTGTAAAAAATATCATACTAATCTGTTATCATACCAGACAAACATATTTCTCAAGTTTGTTCCTATAATAAAATTAAATGCTTGTATTCGTAATATTTAATTTGATCGGAAACTTAATATTGTTTAATTTCATATTTGGTAACTTTTCATATTTGGTAACTTTTCATATTTGGTAACTTTTCATTCATTTGGTATTTAATTAAAACTATTCCTTATTCGTATATTAATATTATTATACGAATGCGATAATAAATGTTTTCTAACGAAAAGTGTATTTCAAAAAATTGTAACATTTAAAAATTCTGAAATATTTTGGAAAGATAACAGAAAAATTCGATTGTGACAACATATTCATAGTACTGCCCTCTGCTGTTGAAACGGCTGACAATAATTAACTAAGGAAGCATCCACACTGTGTTTGCAAGTAAATGCAATCAGCGGATGCAGTGAGATTGCTCCCTTAGTAATTGTTAAAATGGACGCTTATAGCTTTATTTAGAATTTAAATACTCGTCGCCCTTACAAACTCAAACACAAATAAATAAAATATTTTTGCTAATTTGAAAGTGTTATTTTATTGAAGCAATCAAGCAATTCTACTAAAAGAGTGGAAGCTGCATTTATGTTTTAATAATTTCATTTTAATATTTCATATTTGATATATTTTTTGTTGATACTATAAGTTGGAAATTAGATAAAATACAAATATGTTGATGCGATTGAGATGTTTAAGTTCATTCCAAAACTATGCCTCGAATGTGCGTATTTTTCAGACTCGGAAACAGTCTGACTCAACTGACAATACTAAACATGAAAAGGAAGGCTCAGAAGATGAAATAAAAATAGCTGGACTTGCAAAAGCCTTAGGTAAATTTAGACAATTAGAAAAATCTGATAATGTCTCTGTGGAGACGTCGGATGTAGAGCCGAAAAGTTTTCTCCATCTTTTGAGACATTCAGAATTCGTTCAAATGGGCGATCCCCGAGGAAAAGTGGTTATCGGCAAAATATTTCAAGTAGTTAATACTGACTTGTATATAGACTTTGGTGGAAAGTTTCACTGTGTTTGTCGTAGACCGAAAAGAAATGCTGAGTGAGTATATTGTAAATTTTATTGCGTTTGCAGATCAGCAATGAATCTAGAACTGGGTGACTTTTTTGGAGGCGAGATTCGCATGAAAATACATAATTTGTTAAAAAAATATTTTGCAGTGTTAGAAAGAGGGAAGAATATCAATTTAAAGTTCAGTTAAGCAAATTGTATGAAATATTTACAAAATGCACTGATAATATTTTAATTGAAGTTTCGCACAATTTGTCTTATTTAATAAAACTAAATTAATGAATTTTTGTGAGAAAACTAATTTTCTATTTTAAACCACTCCAAAAGCAGAAACAACAAAGAAAGTGACCAACTTGAAGTTTGTAACTCATAGCCATCCAGGGCAAATTTATTTATACATATATATACACACACATTATATATTTTAAATATTGCAAATCACTTTGGCGATTGTTGTCGGCACAAACAGGTATCAATATAGAAGTAACCCCTTATTATATTTTACTACATATATTATAAATTAATTGCTCCATTAAATTTGAAATATATTCATAAATGACCATTGTTTTAATTGTGGCTTAAAAATTTACTAGAAAAGCTTTTAATAATCTGATTTAAATTTTTCGTTATCTTGTACTGGTGCTTAAAGGTTTTGGAATTTTAACTATATAATTTGGGTGTTTTTTCTAAGACAATTGAAATTAGCTTGAGAAAAGATTATACTTAAAATTAATTTAATGATACAATTTAGGTTAAAACTAATTTTCTTATGTATGTAAAAAAGTGTTTTTGTTTCATTAAATCAATTTTTCTGCTAAAAATTTGTAAAAAATGAGTTTACTATATTGATTGTTACTATGACAAATATTAATATTTTTCAAATACTTTTCTCAAAAGAAAACTAATTGTTCAAATTCAATCCTTCATTAATTGAATATGCTATGTAATTGTTCAGTTTGAATGCTATAGAAGGTAATGTTCAGTGTAATAGAAGGTAATTGTATTTTTCTTTATTTCAAAAATTATAGTAATTATTATTTTATTATTTTCTAAACTCTATGATAGAGGTGCTAACGTAAAACTTCATCATAAAGAAATTAATATTATAATCTCAATAAATTTAATACTACCTCTAGGTTTGGTATTTCTTTTTAAAGATAATTGAAAGTAGCTTGCAAAACAATTATATTTAAAACTAATTGAATTCAATAATTTAGATTAAAACCAGTAATGAATGGTTTTGTTATGTATGTAAAAAAAAAAAAAAGATAATATTTTTTAATTGAATAAAGTTTTCTGTTAAAAATTTGTAAAAAACTACTTTACTATAATATTGCTTGTTACTAAACTAATATCAATATTTATTGAATACTTCTCCCCTTCCTCCCCCCCCCCTGAAAAAATAAAATATACTTATTATTCAAAAAGTAGACTTATTGTTCAAATTCAGTATGAACTTTCATTAATTGGATATGCTGTTTAATTGTTCTGTTTTGATGTTGGTAGTGTGGCAGTGTTTTTCATAATCTCAAAAATCATTGTAATTGTTATTATTTTATATTTTTTTAGGCTCTATGTGAGAGGTGCTGAAGTAAAACTTCGTATTAATGAAACGGAATTGAGTGCAAGATTTCTTGGAGCCTCAGAAGATTTGACTTTATTAGAAGCGTGTGGGTCCTTAATTGATATTGTAAAAACACCAGTTAATACAATACCTGTTAAGTAGTAATAAATATTATTGTTTTTATTCTTGAGTATTTCTGAGATGTAGTACATCAATTGTAGTATGATGGAGGTGTGAATAAAAGAGAAAAATAGCATATGTATTTATATACATTTTTTTTTATCATTAAATGTTTTCTGAATTTTTGTTTGCTATTATGTAATATTTTTTTGGGGGGAAAAATTATTTTTTTAAAATTTTTGTTTGAAATTAGAGTTGTAATTTATGTTCACATTGCCTTAAACTCACTCGCCATTTTCAACCGTATAAAAATTTTTTATAATATCGGTAATAAATTAAATAAAGGTTAACATTAATGGTTAGAATAATTATGATTCTTACAGCATGAGATCAGAAGCATAAAAGGTGACAAAATAAACCCTTTTACCTCTTTTCTAACGAAATCAAACTTACACGCAGGTATACATATCAAATAACCAATCAGGTTTAAGAATTTTGGTGGTGTGATCAGACGTTCAAAATAATCTCCCCGAAATATATTCTGGAAACCTAGTTTGGCAAAATTTCAAAAACTTGCTTGTCTTGATTTAAAAAAAGTGCCACGGGGTGGATTATTCTAGTATCCACCCGGGAGACAAAAGAGAAAATATGAAATATTGTTCAGCAACAATATGAAATTAAATGAGTTGTTAATGTTTAATCTTTCATTGTATTTAAACTGTTACATAGTGACTTAAAAATTAAATCAGACTGAGAGAATGGAGCCTTTAGGACAGGGGTGGCGAACCATTATGCACCAACGTGCCATTTTTTCTAAAAATTTTTTTAATGAGGTCACACACGTGCCGACAAATAGTTTTTACTTCGTGATTATTGGGTAAATAATAATACTAAATACTATCAACTTCAAAACTCTTTATTTACTACGAAAGAAAAAAAGACATTTTGCAATGTCTCAGTTATACGCGTAATTCAACTTAACACGTTCACGCCGGGGTGACCCACCGGTGGGTCACGCTAGATTGTCTCACCTTGGCAGCGCACCGGAGTAAAAACTGGTAACAATAAATTTCATTTTTTAGTTTTTTTCCGGGAATAATAAAAATCCATAACTACCAATTGTTTTTAACGGGTGCAATTTTTATATTGAATTGCTTCCTCGCCGTTATAAATTTCCTTACAGTGAATTGTTAATGTTGAGAATAGATTAACTCCTCTCGAATATTATCTAATATTGAAATAGTTCTACCAGTATTTTCTCTTTTCCTGTACCAGTATTTTCACTTTTCCCGGCGTGAACGTGTTAAAGCAGTGTGACTTCTGTTGTTGCAGATTAGATGACAAATAACTTATGTTAGGGTAATAAGATGTTAGTTTAAGCAGAACTGTTAATTCATTTTTGCTAGTTATTTATTGCTAGCTTGTTTTTTATGGTTATTAATTGCTTTTTTGGCATTAATTGTGTATTTTTTTGTGAATTTTAAATTAATTGTTAATATGCTTCATAGTGAACTTTGTGATCGGTGGCGTGCCCAAAATATTGCGTCACGTGCCATAAATGGCACGCGTGCCATTGGTTCGCCATCCCTGCTTTAGGAGAATGACATTTTCCTATTGTTTATAAACGTTTATTGGTTTTATTATTCAGTAACTTGATTAACATAATTTCTGTACAAAATCCATTGTAGAATACAAATTTATTCTGTTTATAATTTCTTAATTGGAAGAGAAAAAAATATTAGCTAATTCCGTGTCTTTAAAATGCTAAAAAATATCATATAAAAGTTAAGTGTTGTTTTCTAATGAGTTATTTTTCTTCCCTTTTCATCTCGTTTTTTTTAAAGAAGGAAACAAGTTATTAGAGGCCCCTGGCCTTGAACATCTTGTGGATGGGGCTCTAATTTTGTACAGGTGCACTGCTCATACATTAAGTTGAGATGTTGTTCTCACTAGTTGTTTAAATTGGAACTTGTTTGTTATCCTGGCTTCACTATTCAACAAAATTCCAAAAAGTATTTTATTAATAATGCTAGAAATGGAATAAATTACTATTAAACATGTTTTAGAACTATGCATAAGTATTTCAGCATTCTTTTTGTTTTAAATTTACACATGGCCTTGGTTGCAATCATATTTTTATGTCTTATTGCTTGTCCAACCCTGCTTAAAATTCTCAGACTTTTTGTGGTAGATTACTTGTATTATTAGTGAAATAACAGTTGAATTAAGATGTGTATGAGGGATTCGTTATATAATTTTAGCTTAATTAAGACCATTTTGGTTACCTAATATAATTTTTTGGCAGTTCAAAATAGTTCATCTTCATGATAATTGAGATTTTTGTGTAAAATATCTCATAATATAACAGGAAGAGTAGCATTTTTAAAAAGTGCTTAATGGTGTTTATTTTCGTTTTTTAAAAGCCCTTAAAGGTGCTTTTTTCATTGCGTTTTTTTAAAAAGTGCTTAATTTTCCTTTTTCCAAAATGAGATTTTTCATTTCCCCCACGAATTGTGCAAAAAGACGTTATTCACATTATTCGATTCAAGTAATTCAACCCCAATCTATTTTGCCGTACCGTATGAAAACTCCATTCGTTTTACATGTTTCATAAAATACTTGCGGGTCCTTATATGCGTATACTGAGCTGGATTCAGTGGGAAAGTATTTTTGATCTCTTTTATGCCACTTTGCTGCATTTTGCATGAGATTCTCAATTTCAGGCTTCATTTTCCACCCTCTGAAATAGAACCAAAGAATCTCACGAATTTTCGCTGATTACGTGGGCCAACAAAACATTGTGATTTTTCCCCCCCCTAATAGTGATAGAAAATTTTATTTCTATTGTTAATTTCATCGTGGGTAACGCGCCATAGTCTTCGTCACTAGCAAGCTAATGGCCTTCTCGCAATATTCTATGTATAGATCAGTACCATAATCTTTGAACTTGACTTGGGGATTATTCACTAATTACATAATTTCATGTGGGTCCCCAGACCAGTCATGAAACCCAAAGCTTCATCACCTCACAATTTCCATCTCCCTTTTATTCATTAAATTTAAAAATTAATTAAGAATTTTAAGCGTAATATTTTTTACCTGAGCGACTGTCTACCAATTGTATAAAATTTTTTGTAAATTTTTGTTGTATTTTATTACTTTTTTTGTGTATTACTTTTAATTAATTATTGTATTATTACTTTTAAAAATTTCTGTTCTCCTAAGTTGTTTCATGATAATTGAATAATATGTAAAGGCAAGATTTTAAAAAAGTATAAAGGGAGAGACTTTAAATATTTTAAATACAGTAAAAAATCCTATGTTTAGCTATGTAAACAAATTCAGATTTATCATTCTAAAAAACTTTAATTCATCTCTTAATGATTTTATTTACAAACAATTGAAATAATAAATTTTATTATCTCAGATTTGTTAAATATTATGAATGTAGGGGCCATGTAATAATTTATTTGCTTTGACAAAAATGTTTAGCTTCAATACTCATTGTAGTATTTACATTTCAAAATTACTTAATTTTTTTAAATATTAAATGAATACTGAACCAAGTAACAAATAATAACAAAAGTTTTTCAGGACCATTCACTAATTTACATTAGTTATATAAATTTATTGGAGTTTTCTTAGTTTGCTTTAAATCATGCACAATACTTGCATTATATTCTACTACGTATAATAATAATTTATATTATATATCATTTACAAAAAAGTATAGCCGAGATAATTAAATTGTTAATTTTTCTAAAAACATAATACTCTTACTCTTAATGTAATTACAAATTATAACTATGAGTTGTTAATTATTATCAATCTAAATATTGATTTTAATTATTTTATGTCGCAATTTAAGAATAGTTTTTTAGATTAAGTAAAACTAAACTGGTTGCCAATATTATAAATATGAAGTTTTTTTTCTTCTTTTAAGTCTGATCTCAACTTATAAGAAATTTATTTTTACTTTTTTGATTCTTAATGTTTGCTATTATTACTGATATACTGGTTAGTAGAATATATCTAATTGTGCAAGCAAAGGTTTTGAGGGAAATTCAGGCAGCTAAAGTAAAATTTTTGGTCCTAAATATTCCTACAAAATACTTTGTTGTTAAAAAATTTGTAACTTCGCAAATTTTTCCTTGTTAAATAACATTAAATGTCAATTTGTGTTTTTATTAGTTTGAATTCCTTAAGTATATGAGTGAGACCCTTAATTCAATAAATTATTACAATTTCAGTGTATTTTGATTTCTAATAATTTTTAACGTATGCTCGTTTATTTAAGAATTGTGTTAAATCAAGCAAATTATTTTTTCTTATAGAAACTTTACTTTCCAAAAATATTTTTAAAAAATTACTGTACTAAATGAAAAATTTTAACATTTTTGGGAGAACTTCAATTAAAAAAAAATTTTCTGAGGAAATATTAGGGACTGAGAATTTTCTGCTCTCCTGCTTATATGTACATATACTGCCTACATTAATGTTTCCAATTAATCTTGAATATAATATATTCCCTGATAAGTAAACTAATTATAATTTACAAAAAATATCAATGTTCACTTAAGTGAGTTAATATTTTTTTTAAATCAATCGATTCAAGGGTTTAAATTAGTTCCTATCAATATTTAGTGCAGGTGGCCGAGCGGTTAGTTTCTGACTGCGGGTTCGAATCCCGCTCTGGGCATGCATGCTTCTCTCTATGTGTTGTCCTCTGTTGTGTGTGATGTGTGAATGTTGCCCACCCTATGAACTGGTATTTGTGGCAGTTTGGCGTGGGTAATGTTGCTCGCCTCCGTGACTTAGGTTCACAGGTGCCCACTGGGTAACGTTAAATGAGCAACACTTCCGGCATCTTCCGAGGTGGAGAACGAAAGTTCAGTACCTGCCGTTTGAGAAGAAAAAAATATTTAGAATTTTATTAGAATAAATTTTCTAATTATTAAAGTACTATAATAATTTAGTTGGTCAACATTCTAGTCTATACAGCTGAGCATCATTCGAAAGAACAGTTTTAAATTTTGGTCTTATTCATACAAAACTGAAAAATGAACTTGGAGAACAGAGGGCTTCTATTTTTATTTATTTATTATTTTTTTTAATCCCTCGCTTAAAAGAAGAGTA